AAAAAAAATTTTTTTTAACATATTGTATACAAAACTCTCTCACCATGGCCTGGCTGCTGTGTAGCTCACCAGATTCACCTATTACTCTATTCCTCACTCCCTATGTTTAGCCAGGCTCCTACTTTCTCAAATGCCACTCTCTCAATTCTAGGCGTTTATACAAGCCATTCTCTCCCCACTTCACTTGCCTGCTTCATCCTTTAGTTCTCGGCTCAGGCATCACTTCCCCAGAGAAGACTTCCCTGGCCATACCCTTTCATGACATCTTGTTTTTCCTTTTGTGTAACACTCATCCACTAAACCACAAGCACCAGAGGGAAGAGACCATGTCTATCTTATTCACAGCCATATCCACATCATCTTGTAAAGCACCTGCAAAGACTTGTTAAACTGTACTAAAGTTTTCATCACTAAATTTAAGCTAAATATTTGTAATTTTCAGTAAATTGGGCTAGGAAATAATTCAAGTTTTCTAAAGTAAATACCTGACTTTTAACCTTTCCTCCCCTCTCTGTGTTCTCACACTTTCTTTTACTTCTTCCAAAAGTTAACTACTGGTTTCATTTGGTCTGGAAGAAAATGTCAGATTCGTTGTAGGACTATTTTGATAATATTGGGACTTTATTCTCTTTTATAAAATTACTCTCAAATTATAAATATATGTCATAATTATCCTATAATTATAATATTGGTAGATCATCCATTCAATAAGTGTTTATTACGAACCTATTAAATACATACTAACTGCATAATATATGAAGTTATTGGTATCTACTTACTAATCAGGACATCATAGCTCTGTACCTCCCCTGTTTTTTAAAAATATAGTACAGGGGCACCTGGGTGGTTCAGTTGGCTAAGCATCTGACTTTGGCTCATGTCACGATCTTGTGGTTTGTCATTTGGAGCCCCAAGTCAGGCTCTGCGCCAACAGCTCAGAGCCTGGAGCCTGCTTCAGAATCTGTCTCCCTCTCTCTGCCCCTCCCCTGTTCATGCTCTCTCTCTCAAAAATAAATAAACATTAATAAAAATTAAAAATATAGAACAGTAGATCCTTTCTCTCAATGATGAAAGAACACACCAGCAATGATCTTTTTTTTTTTCAATTTTTTTTTTAAGTTTGTTCATTTCTTTTTGAGAGAGAGAAAGCAGGGTAGGGGCAGAGAGAGAGCGGGGAGAGAGAGAATCCCAAGCAGGTCCCACGCTGTCAGCACAGAGCCCAATGTGGGGCTCAAACCCATGAACCACAAGATCATGACCTGAGCTGAAATCAAGAGTTGGACGCTTAACCGACTGAGCCACCCAGGTGCCCCAGCAATGATCTTTTCTTTAAGATGTTTGTTCTAGAGGGAAAATCTGAGAAATAAGAAGAGGCAAGAATAACTCTTAAGTGCACTGTGTCTTGGAGAGGCAGGCATAAATACATCTTTAACAACAATATAAGATTAAAACAAATTTTTTGACAAGCAGTCTCCTCACCTTAGAGGTTGCATTATCCCAAACGGCTAGTCCGAAGTAGTCCTCTTCCAAAAGATTGAGGTGCTCACACACTCGTTTAAGCAAATCCTGTCCCTTAGCATGTTTCTGCAAAGACATATATATTATGAGGTTTCCTCTTATTCTTGTATTTATCACCAAATAAAATAAAATGTCACTTTACCGTTTCCTCTTTTACCCTTGGTTACCACTACTTTCAGATGGTTATAAAGCGTAAGTAGAACAATGGTGGGTTATAAAAATCTTGTTTCTTAATTTGTCAGCTTAAATATGCAACACACTTAGTGGCCTGGAACTAGTGCTAGAATTCAAAGCAATATTTTACCTTCCTTTCATCAACCATTCCCTACCTCCAACCCAAACATCACATTCTTTATTTTTGGTGTAGTATTTCCTGAAGCTTGCTATGGTCTGCTGTCATCACGACCACCTAAATTCACTGAATCTGCTGTCGACGTTGACAATTAATAATGGCTATGCTATGGAAATCATTAGGCTTTCTACCATTCTCAGACCAAATGTCCCAAGAGAATAGGTTGCTGAAAAACACACAAAGTCTAAAATTCTAGATACCCTACAGACATTACCTGTTGCAGTGGCTTTTTCAGGTGTGCTACAAATCATTTTCTTAATGTTTCTTTACGTAGGAAATCATACCACTGCCAAATTTGGTACTAATACTCCTACTTAGCCTAACTTAGAGGCTAAGATGTACAGTCAAAAAGTCCTGGCTCCTCCATTTACAAGTTAAACAACCTGGATTAATTCTATTAATATTTCTGAACATTAGCTTTCTCATATGTAAAATGGTAAGAATAGTTATACCTATAATGTCTATTTACTGGAATTGTTGAAAAAAAATCAAACATGCTAACAATTGCTGAGAAATGTATTTTTAAAAATACTTCAAAAAAATTAGAATATTTTTTGACACACATACACATGCCCTTCTCTCAATGAGCAGAGTTGCTTTTAATGACTGTTAGTAATTTACATAGATGTTCATTCATTTTCAGACTTAACCCATCTATATTACATCATTTTCTTCATTTTTTCCCCCTTATGTTTTCATTCCAAATGACAGAAATGATTAGGGAATACTTCATGTATAGGCCCCTACTCCTTTATTTATAATTCCAAAATCCAAAAGCTCTAAAAAGTAAAAATTTAGGCCTTTTTTTTCCCCAGGGGGAGGGTGTCCAAAGTTCATTTGAAGGCAAATTCTGTCCTGAACTGTTATGAGGCTATTTATGATCTTTATTTACCCATCTTAGAATGAATCTTGGTACTGCCACACACCCTAGTGGGTGTGTTATGAAATATGCAGCATAAGTAAATACTGTCTTTCTAAAGTCCAAAATACTCTGAATTCTGAAACACATCTGCCCCCAAATGTTTCAGATATAAAGGACCCATATCTGGACCTTAGTCTGAATGGGAAGAATGAGTGTGGAATAGCTTTCCACATCTCTCAACTAGCTAATGATGAGAAGCAGAAAGAGCAGACCATTGGTCTCTAGTTACCAAGTGTAGTGACTATTTTCAAAGTACAGTAGTGTATTTTTCTAGATTTCTTTTTTAAAACCTGGAAAAGGAATGTTTATTAATAGAGTATAATATTTTAGACTATTAGAGCTTTGATATATTTGCATACAGATAATTCAATTCAGACATATTTATTACATACCTAAGATACAAGTATATGTGAATTATATGTCTTATCAATAAAGGCTATTATTAGTAATATTCATAACAACTGCCTTATATCAAGCATATAACTGATAATTACTGCTCTAGTTAAAAAAAACAGTTACCAGATTTTTAAGGATTTTAATTTGTCTTGAAGGAGCAAAAGAGTAACCACATAATTGACATTTTCATTAAATCCCAACTCAATTACTTATTCTTTCAGAAAATAATAGAGTATTTTAAGAAATGGCATTACTTGATTTAAATTTCTTATATCCTATTTCATGGGGTTCAAGAAATACATTGAATAAACCAAAGCTTATTAAGGTTTAGATCTGGGACAGCAGAAATGAACACATAGCAATTTTTTGACAAATACAGTTATGGGGATAACTAGACCTAATATCAGAAATTGAGGTTACCTGGAAAATCTAATCATGCTAGGTCACTCTATAAATAACAAACCAATTGCTTTTAAAGAAAATTGTTTTGGATTCTAAAAGTAACACATGCTTAATTCACAAGATTTGACAGATACAGAAAAAAACTGGAGAAGAAAATAAGACTCACTCATAATCCTTCCACACCTCCACTTCCAGAAAATTACTATTAAAATTTCAGTCCATAGAAATAGTCACTGACACTACTTACTCAACCCTACAGGAAACAATCTGTAAGAGTTCTGACTACGGAAATTAAAATGCACTCACCTCCACAACACATTCGTAAACTGTGTCATCCAACAAAGAAACCTTGCAATGCATGTTTCTGTGTCTTCTGATTGATTTCTGGGAAGTTTGTAATTCTCTTTCTGCTTTTGATTCAGGACTTTCTTCTTTCACTTCTATTTTACAGCACTCTTCAAGTCCTCCTCCTTCTTTAGTTTCAAAATCTGGGTCTTCTCTGTGTTCTTCCTGGGCAGGCTACATATCCGTGACATCAAGTTAGTAATAAAAACATTTCACAAAACATGCTCTATACAGTTTTACCTATAATGATGCTACCAATAAATGCACTGAAGAAGAAGAAAATGTTAAGACAAATTTAAGTGATATTAAGATTAAATAATTATTTATCTATAAAAGATATTATAATCTCCTACAATATCTACACACTATGCTATCTTCAAAACTTCTCAGGTAGAATCCTATCTTTCAAATCAATACATGAAGGTTTCTGATAAACTAGAGGACACCAATCTATTGTGCTCAGCATATACATTCTTCCTGGCTATGCCATTATGTATTATTAAAGTTTATTAAAACCTTAGCATCTCTGCCCCATGCTCCTCAATTTTATTTATTTTTTTAATGTTTACTTTTGTTTATTTTGAGAGAGAGCAAGAGCACCACCCAAGTGGGGGAGGGGCAGAGAGAGAATCCCAAGCAAGCTCTGCACTGTCTGCGTTATCAGTGCAGAGCCTGACACGGGGCTCAGTCTCACCAACCATGAGATCATGACCTGAACCGAAATCAAGAGTCAGATACTTAACTGACTGAGCCACCCAGATGCCCTATAGGCTCCTCAATTTTACTTTATTTTTTTTTTAATTTTTTTAAGTTTTATTTATTTATTTTTGAGAGAGAGACAGAGAGAGTGAGTGGGGGAGGGCCAGAGAGAAAGAGAGAGAGACAGAATCCCAAGCAGGCTCTGCACTGTCAGCACAGAACCCGATGCAGGGCTCGAACTCACACATCGTGAGATCATGACCTGAGCCAAAACCAAGAGTTGGACTCTTAACCAACTGAGCCACCCAGACACCCCAACTTTTTTTTTTAATTTTTTAACGTTTGTTTATTTTTGAAAGATAGAGATAGAGAACGAGTGGGGGAGGGGCAGAGAAAGAGGGAGACACAGAATCCGAAGTGGGCTCCAGGCTCTGAGTTGTTAGCACAGAGCCTGATGTGGGGTTCAACTCACGAACCACCGTGAGATCGTGACCTGAGCTGAATTTGGATCTTTAACCAGCTGAGCCACCCAGTTGCCCCTAAGCTCCTCAATTTTAGCAAGGTAGCCTTATGAACTGCAAAATGAGATGTGATATATCACATATTCTAAATCTTATGAATGGCTAACAGGGATTCCTGGGACCAATTTTAGAGCATAAAGCAACATTATAAACTAGGCTAACAACTGTAATACCAGTTAACTTCTTTCTACCACTTACCAATCATGCTAATTGTGAAGCAGACTCTAAGAAGCAAGGGACAAATTGAAAACCTAGGGTTATCATGAAGTCATCCCAAAGTTACACAGGTAAGTGAAATAACATTTTCGCACATACTTTCTTAATTCCAGCATAATAAAACTGCTGAAAGGTTCTTTAACTATTCTTAACTAAATCTCGCTGATTCTTTTCTTTCAGAAGAATCCATGATTGACATTTAGGAAAAAGTATTTAATTATTTGGCTTCTGCATTAGATATTGGAGGTGGTCTAAAAGGCTCCTTCCCATCCTTCATGACCCTTTTAAATGCGACCTCTTCAGAGAGGCCTTCAATTGGCAATCATATCTATCCTATCCCCCACTCTGCTATTCATGTCAGTACCCCGTATATTGCCTTTATAACATTTATTATAATAAATGTTTTATATTCACTCATTTTTTTGTCTCTTCCATTAGACTAGAAAGTCATCAAGAATAAGGATTATGTTTTATAACAACAACAACGCTACATACATAACAATTAAAATGGACCAGTTACAGGGTGCCTGGGTGGCTCAGTCGGTTGGGTGCCCGACTTCAGCTCAGGTCATGATCTCATGGTATGTGGGTTCGGGCCCCGCATCAGGCTCTATGCTGACAGCTCTAAGCCTGGAGCCTGCTTCGGATTCTGTGTCTCCCTTTCTCTCTGCCCCTCCCCTGCTCACACTCTGTCTCTCTCTCTCAAAAATAAATAATAAACATTTAAAAAAAATTTTTTTAAATGGACCAGTTACTATTCTAAAAGCTCTACTTATATGAACCTGCTTTATCCTCATAATAACCCTGTGGGGAGAGGACTATTTGACAGATAAGAAACAAAGGCCAGAACCATAGCAACATTTTTCTAGATGTCTCCTGAGGCAAAGGAAACAAAAGCAAAAATAAACTACTGGGACTATGGTAGGATCCCCTCCTTAAGGAAAGAAAAAAACCTCAAGGCAACCTGGCTATAAGTGACAACATCCCTCACAACCTTGTAACATGAGACCACTTAATTAGACTGCATGCTTGTGTGTTACCATATATGGGAGACAAAGAAATAAAAAAATACATAAAAAACTGCCACGTGGCATTCGGGGCTCAGTTCTTCGGGTACAAACCCAACTGAGCCATGCTGGTACGAACAAAGTTGCTTCCTGGAAAGAAAAACCTCGGTGTCACAACTCTCTGTGTGAGAATCCTGCTACAGGAATACATCAAAATAAAAACCTTCTTCACAGCAAACAACCAACAAAACTAAAAGATAACCTACTTAATGGGAGAAGATATTTGCAAATGATATATCCGATAAAAGGTTAGTATCCAAGATGTATTTTAAAACTTACATAATACAAAAAACCACATATAATCTAATTTAAAAGTGAGCAGAAGACATGAACAGACATTTCTCCAAAGAATACATACAGATGGCCAACAGACACATGAAAAGATGCTCAACATCACTCATCATCAGGGAAATGCAAATCAAAACCACAATGAAATTTCACCCCACACCTATCAGAATGGCTAAAAACACAGGCGCCTGGCTGGCTCAGTCAGTGGAGCATGTGACTCTTAATCTTGGAGTCATGAGCTCCAGCCCCACATTGGTGTAGAGATTACTTACAAATAAAGTCTTTAAAATCAAAAACACAAGAAGCAAGTGTTGACGAGGATGTGGAGAAAAAGGAACCCTCGTGCAGTGTTGGTAGAAAAGCAAATTGGTGCAGCCACTGTGGAAAACAGTATGGAGACTCCTCAAAAAGTTAAAAATAGAACTACACTACAATCCAGTAATTGCACTACTGGGTATTTACCCAAAGAACACAAAGACACTAATTTGAAAAGATACATGCACCCCTATGTTTACTGCAGCATTATTTAAAATAGCCAAATTATGAAAGCAGCCCAAGTATCCATCAATAGATGAATAGATAATATTATTCAGCCATAAAAAAGAATGAAACCCTGCTATTTGCAACAACATGGATAGATCTAGAGAATACAATGCTAAACAAAACAAGCCAGTCAGAGCAAAACAAATACCATATGATTTCACTCATACATAGAATTTAAGAAACAAAATAAACAAAGAGGAAAAAAAGAGAGAGACAAACCTAAAAACCAGACTCTTAACTATAGAGAACAAAGAGATGGTTGAGGGAGGAAAGGGGAAAATAATAGGTGAAGGGGATTAAGGGCACACTTATCTTGATGAGCACTAAGTAATATACAGAATTGCTAAATCACTATATTGTACACCTGGAACTAATATAACACTACATGTTAACTACACTGGAATTAAAATAAAATTTTAAAAAAGAAATTAAGTTTATGATATGAAAAAATAAAAATGAAAATAACCTAACTGCAAGAAAAAAAAATTAGATGAAGGAGATCAAGAACACTTATCATAATGAGCACTGAGTAATGTACAGAATTGTCAATTCACTATATTGTACATCTAAAACTGATATAACACTGTACTTAACTATACTGGGATTAAAATTTAAAAAAGAAAAAGAAAGAAAGAAAGAAAGAAAGAAAGAAAGAAAGAAAGAAAGAAAGAAAGAAAGAAATTTGAAAGAAAAGAAAAGAAGAAAAGAAAAGAAAAGAAAAGAAAAGAAAAGAAAAGAAAAGAAAAGAAAAGAAAAGAAAAAAGAAAAGAAAAGGAAAACTGTAGCCCAAGAAGCTAAAGTAACTTGCTTAGGATCATTCAGTTAATAAGTGACCAGTCTGGCTCCAGATTTTATGATCTTAAACCTATGTCATATCGTAGTTTTCATTTACCAATGATATCCAGCTTAATGCCTGGCACATATAGTAGGTTTTCAATAAATATTTGGGGGGTTTGTAGTACTTTTTTTTTAAGTTTATTTTTATTCATTTTGAGAGAAAAATAGAGAGCAAGTATGGGAGGGGCAGAGAGAGAGGAAGACAGAATCCCAAGCAGGGTCAGCTCTGTCAGCACAGAGCCTGATGCAGGACTCAAACTCACGAACCATGAGATCATGACCTGAGCTGAAATCAAGAGTTGGATGCTGAACAGACTGAGCTGCTCAGGCACCCCTAAATAAAAATTTGTTTAGTGAATAAATAAACATTAAAAACGTACATATGGCTTCCAAAAAACCCAAGGTATCCTAGACGAAGACTAGGTTTTTAAAAAACCTGGATAGTAAAGGACCACTCAAATGAAACTCTACCACATATATAGAAACATGGTTAAGCAAATAAACTTTTGCCCACAAGGTTCTGATCTATAAGGTTTTGATTATAAATACTAGCTTCTAAAAAGCCCAAAATAGTTTTCTCCTTTAATCAATATCTCCTTGAAATTTATTAACAGTACTAATATATTTTCTTTTACTTTATATATAAACACCTGCATACAATTTATCACAATTCTGATTTAATAAAGTTTCAATGAATGAGACTTTAGTTAAATCTAAAATTAACTTTGTCCGTCATCTGTTTTAACTTCAGTACAAATGCTATGATCTTTAGATAAAATAGACTAGCCTTCATTCAAATGCTAACTAAAACAAAATATGGATTTTTTCCCCACATAAAAAGCAGAGGAGAAAAAAGCAGTTAAAAACCTCTTCAAAGTATAAGGCTTCCTGGAAGATAATGTAATTTAACTCCTTTGGTATTTTTTAAAGTAAATTAAATTAATAATATTAAGATATGTAGGGTTTCTTTGCCTTTTCTGTTCATATTTATTAACTGAGTAATAATAATAAACATTTAATGGGTGCCAGACAATGTCTTAAGAGCCTTCTGTGTTTATCTCATTTAATCCTCCTAATAGCCAGAGGTGGTGAATATTATCCCCATTGCACAGAAGAGGAAACTGATTAAGCAAAAGTGCCACTCAGCTATGATTTCTTAGACTGATTCTATAGCCTGCATTCTTAACTTACACTATATAGTAAATCTTCTTTTCAACCTTGTTGCACTAACAGCAAGTACGTAATTACAACTTTATCCTAAATTTTACTCTTAGCACTTTTAATATACAAGTAATATTTTTAGAAATAAATATATTTTTTTTAATGTTTATTTTATTTTTGAGAGAGAGACAGAGCACGAGCGGGGGAGGGGCAGAGAGAGAAGGAGACAGAATCCAAAGCAGGCTCCAGGCTCTGAGCTGTCAGCACAGAGCCTGACGCGGGGCTCGAACTCACAGACCGCAAGATCATGACCTGAGCCGAAGTTGGACGCTCAACCGACTGAGCCACTCAGGCGCCCCTAGAAATACATATATTTTTTAAAAAATCTAATTGTTTATCCCAAACCTGAGTCCTATAATAAAAACATAGGATTTATACTTTTAACAATGCAAATAGTGCTCACATAATTCAGAAATAAAAGTAATGGTTTTTTTGATGTTTATTCATTTTTGAGAGACAGAGTGCAAGATGGGGAGGGGCAGAGAGAGAGGGAGACACAGAATCCAAAGCATGCTCCAGGCTCTGAGCTGTCAGCACAGAGCCCGATGAGGGGCTCAAACCCATGAACCGTGAGATCATAACCTGAGCTGAAGTCGGCCACCCAACCGACTGAACCACCCAGGTGCCCCTAAAATAGCTTTTAATTTGTAGTTAGTAAGGCTAAAAGCAAATGGGATTCCTACACGATAGTTTGCATTATGGTACTAATACTTTCTAATATTTTTGGATACCAGACAAAAAAATAAACACATAAACAAATTCACAACTCATGTTTAGTACATTCTATATATGTACTTGTTAAATTTTAATGTGCATCGAATCACCTAGCAATCTTGTTAAAATACAGATTCTGATTCAGCAAGTCTGGAATGGAGTCTGAGATTGTGCATTTCTAACAAGCTCCCAGATGTTGCCAATGCTGCTGGCCCAATAGCCACTCTTTGAGTAGCAACGCGTAACTGTGACACAATTAAGTTCCCAAACTACTGTATATTACAAAGGTGATATAAACAGCTAGCCTTCCTTATCTATAACTTACACACTGGTAACATAATCTAGTTGTAGAAAACAATAAAAATAAGGCAGGCATGGCTCAAACCTAGCACATACCTCTGGATGGCTTGAATCTATTACATTGCTTTTTTGAGGGAGGATTTTCATAGAAGGACCATATTTGTAAATAAACTGTCCCATTCCTAATAATTCCAACAAAATGAACTCTAAACCACCTCACTTTTTCCCCCCTCTCATTAAAAAATCTTGGACTTGTTCTATTATTACAGCCAAATGATATATAGACTAAATAAACTCATCTAATAAATACTTTTCTTTCATTTTGTTTTGACTTATAAAATGCAAATATAAAAGTACAGAGTATATCTTTTAAAAAGACAAGTTTTCAGGGGCGCCTGGGTGGCTCAGTCAGTTAAGCATCCGACTTTGGCCCAGGTCATGATCTCATGGTTCGTGAGTTTGGGGCCCCGCGTCAGGCTCTGTGCTGACAGCTCAGAGCCTGGAGCCTGCTTCAGATTCTGTGTCTCCCTCTCTCTCTGCCCCTCCCTAGCTCATGCTCGCTCTCTCTCTCTCTCTCTCTCTGTCAAAAATAAATAAACTTCAAAAAAATATTTAAAAAGACAAGTTTCCATTGACTACAACAATTTCCTTACAACAGAAATTCCAAAGTTTCATGTTAAACTCATTACTATCAATGCCTAGGTCAACTGGTCAGTAAGAAATAAAACCAAATGTTTTTAAGTGAAAAACAAAGTATATAAATGATCTTCATTACACACCTCTCACACATTTGCACATCCTTACCTGTGTTTCTGCACTGCTTAATGAATGAAGATCCAAGGATGGGTCTGTTTTGAGTTCAGGTTCAGGAGCTGCAATTGGGGCCTTTAAAATGATCTCTTCATCAAGGCCGGTTCCAAATTCTATCTCCTTCTGACCTCCTTCACATTTCTCTTTAGCTGACTCTACTTCTTTGCCTTCTTCCTCAGACACCTGAGACTTAGGCCTTTTGAGAAACGAGGAGAACAGCCGTGATAAGCCCCTGTTTTCTGATGTCCGTTCCTTGTTCTTGGTTAAGTCTTCATGTGTAGGAGTATCTCCATTAGATGTTTTCAGCTTCTGTTCACACTGATTATCTCCTTCAGCTGCCTCTTGATAAGGCTCCTCCAGCTGAGTTTCTTGTTGGCCAGAATTTGTGGCTCCCTCACCTTCTTCCTTCTGTTGTTGGTGCTGTGAATTTTCAGCCTCAGCCACTAAACTCTTCTCTGTTGTCATAATGTTGCTATTAAAAAGACAGAAAAGGGGAACTCTTATAATCAAAACAGATTACTGTAGGCAAAACCCTAAATCATGTCAAGAGTGCCAAAATTAATATATTTAGATATTTAATCACCCACAGACAGTACTCCAGTCCATTAAGCATGAGACTTTCCATTAAAGTACAAAAAAATACCTTACCTATACATCCTGAATAAATTATTAATGCTGTGACTTGCTAAATATGTGCACATGGAGAAATTACCTTGCCCCTGAGGCCACCTCAGAGAAATGCATATTTTTAATTCAATGCTCAGAACTGTATATAGCAAATACCATTTTCTCCTTCCTAAAAAAGGATCTTATTTGTATACTATGCTTATTTGTATACCATCAACCTAATAAAAGTGCAAAGTTTACAGGAATTATCCTTTCCAAAATTCTCTACACCCCAATAAACGGTGAGATTAAAAAGTCCCCAACTCTTTATTGTTCTTTTTCTATGTATTTCTTAGAATGCATTGACTTCTCTAATAAGAACAGCAAATGCTGAATTCTGATCAATTATTAGACTTGACAACAGCAATGACAAGTATATGATTAAAATAATCACCAAAAAAATCCTTAAATTTTCATGTTACATTACTAAATTACAGCCTCTTACAAAAGTATCCTGCTGTAAGTTCTTTAAGATATTTTTTTCTTCTGAAAAATATGATTCTGAATACTTAGTGTATAAGAGTAGACAGTGAAGCAATTACAATAGAGAAAAACAGAAAATAACAGAAAAATAAAGGAGCAAAATAGAGAAGACAGATTTAGAAAGCAAATGCTGAGAGCAAAGTAAAGAAGAAGGCAGGCTATAGACCTCACATATTTGAAACTTGTTGGTTTCTAGCCTCTTAATCTCAAAAATCCCAGTATTATTAGTCAGGTCTCATAACAATAGCCAAAAAACATCGTCACATCTCCTTTACTAAAGAATAACCAACATACAAGGGAACTTTTGTGACACCAGGAAATAAAGTT